AGGTAAGTTTCTGGCCGTGCTACACAGACACACAACTGGCCGTCAAACAAAAACGGTCCGGCGGCGGTGTTCTCCTCCGAGTGTGTTCAAAAGCAACGTGAAAATCAATACGAATACCGTTAAAGGTCATTATATTTTGGACGCACAAAAAATACAAGTGACTGAAGAGAAAGTCATATCTTTGCCGCTGTCACATCAAAGACAAAATTGTCCGATTCTCTGCAAGGACGTAGTGTCTCCATAGAACCCCCCAGCAGTTTGCTTCCGTTCCCGCCTGCAGCATACGGACATCGCGCTGATCACGCTCACCAAGGACGTGGAGTTCAGGACCAACATCCGGCCGGTGTGCCTGGACTCGGGCAGCAGCACGTACGCCGGCGAGATTGTCACTGTCGCCGGCTGGGGCAGCCTGCGCGAGGGTGAGTCACCCAGACTGGGGGTCACAGCCGGGAGGCAGCGACTAGCTGAGGCCAAGCCGGACCAGGGAAAGGAGTGCACGATCGCATGTGGTTATTCGATCTGTTCTATCGGTTTTCTGGAGGTTCATTGCGTAGCATGCAAGGTCGGCAGCTTTCTTGTGCTCCACAATTGCGTTGTTTTCACGTTGATCCCCTAGACGTCGCTCTCGCGCCCAGTCATTGCAATTTCACCAAACAAACTCCGCTGGGCACAACTCTGCACTGCGCGGACGGAGCGATGTTAGGCAGAGGTGCTCAGCTCCACTGGGCGCCGACGGCTGCCGCCCGCTGCCGGGCTCGCGCGTGACTGACGCCGCGTGCGCCCCGCAGGCGGCCGCCAGCCGTCCATCCTGCAGAAGGTCAGCCTCAAGGTGTGGAGGAACGACAAGTGTAGGGCGACGTACGGCGCGTCGGCGCCCGGCGGCATCATCGACTCGATGCTCTGCGCCGGCCGCCAGGGCAAGGACTCGTGCAGTGTGAGTACCCAGCGACAGAGGGGGGGGGGGGGGGGAGCTGCTGCCGCGGGGGGACCGAGCGCAGTCCGGAGGCGAGAGGCGGAGCGAGCTCAGTGACGGGGCCGGACGGCGTCGCCCGAGATCCGCGTGGAAAAGAAACGATACCGGCGCCGCGGTAGTATGGGTGGCAGGATAGCATGGATAGCATGGATAGCTGGGTCGAACGCATTTTCAGCATGGATTCGAAAAGCAAAACGGAGGCGTCTTCTGAAAAACCGTTTAAGCGTGAGGGGTGAAAGACGCGGGAGATAACACAAACACGTGAAACGCTACGTTTTTAAACACATCAATCAGGAGTGAATCTTGTAATTAAAGATAATTGCCAAGTTCACACAGGCATGCCTTTTGGCCAAAAGCTCCGGCGAACATAGTATGGACCGCGCACACACAGTCTGGACCGGACATATGCGGTCCGGACCGGACACACACAGTCCGGACCGGACATATGCGGTCCGGACCGGACACACACAGACCGGACCGGACATATGCGGTCCGGACCGGACACACACAGTCCGGACCGAACACATACGGTCCGGATCGGACACATACGGCCCGGACCGGACATATGCGGTCCGGACCGGATACACACAGTCCGGACCGGACATATGCGGTCCAGACCGGACACATACAGTCCGGACCGGACATATGCGGTCCGGACTGGACACACACAGTCCGGGCCCGGCACCCACTGTCCGGACTGGAACACACGGACCGGACCGGACGCACACAGTCCGGACAGGACACACTCTGTCCGGACAGGACACACACTGTCCGGACCGGACACAGACAGTCCGGACTGGAACACACAGTCCGGATCGGAGACACACAATCCGGGCTAGACCTTCACACGCCAAGCAAGACTCGCATAGTCCCGACCGGACTCAACACAGTCCAGACCTAACTCCCATATCCCGGAACGGACGCGCACTCTTGACACTCTCTGTGGGAATCTGGTCCACAGTGTGGACCGGACCCCCACTGCTTGAAACTGATCAAGATATCCCAGGCAGAACTCTTACTGTCCGGACCGGGGTCACGCAGATGGAAACAAACTCCCATACCCTTGGTCAGACTACCTCAGTCCGGACCGAACCGGACTGTTACACCCGGAACAGACTCATTCAGTCCGGACCGAACCCGACTCTCACATTCCGGACCAGACCCCCTCAGTCCGGACCGGACCCGCACAGCCGAGCCCGATAACGGCTTGCGGCTCCAGCCTCGGAGGCGGACCACCACCGCGGACCGGGGCGTCAGCCGCCGCCGCCGCCGCACATCCCAGGCCGGTCAGACCGGATGGAAAATCCGCACGCGCGCGGCCGCTGCAGCGGCGCCTCTAATGGACGGCCGAGCAGACTGATATCGGAATGCGGTCGCGGCAGAGACGGCGCGATTAGAGAACAATGTGCACCGTCACCCCGCGAGGAGCCGGGGGCGCAGCGAGACAGAGGCGGGTCACGCCGGCGGGGGGCGACGTGGCGGCGAACCGTACAACAATTAGGCAGGCCCGATACTTCGTGATAAGATTGATTCGACTGTCTGAAATGTTACGCCATCGACGAGCTAGATGACCTCCGCTGTCGGCGCTTCCTTGAAGGTTCAGTTATCGTCATCGGTGGCCGGCACATGTGGCGCGTGCGGGCTGCCTGTCGGGCCTGCTGGCGTGTCGTTCCTGTTGGCAATGCGCGGGATCCCTTTGCCATCAGAGCGGCTGATGGTCCTCTGACGTATGCCGCCCTTGTCAGCGTGGTCATGCGCTGCATCTGTCGACGCCTGTTCGTGTGCTGTCGCCTTGCTCCACGTGTGCCCTCTGCCGTCGGTGTGTTTACTGGTGCTCCGTCTGGCACTGTGCTCACGTGCTCCCTCTGCCGGCAGGGCGACTCTGGCGGCCCACTGATGCGGGTGGCGGGTGTGGTGTACCAGGTGGGCGTGGTCTCGTGGGGAATCGGCTGCGGCAAGGCCCAGTACCCCGGCGTCTACACCCGTGTAGCCAAGCTGCGTGATTGGATTGATAGGAACAGGGCCGCCTACTAGGACGGGTGGGGCGGCGCGCGCGGCGGCCGCCACCCAAGACACGCGGGCGAACGGAGGCCGATGGCCGGCGGGGGCATCGTGTGATATCGTGGACTTCGTGTCGGAGAGTGCCTTTCCGCGGGGGGGACAGGCGGGCTCGCTCCCTTCTCGAGCGTCGCAGAGCCGGAAAAGACAGACGGCGCATTATAATCTTCAAGACTTCATCGCATTCGCCAAGTCGGCCATGTGGGTTTTCCTTCTGCACTGGTGTGATGAGATGAGCGTTTAGAGGGTCTGTGTGCGTGTGCGCGTGTGTGTGGGCGTGTGGGAGTAAGTGGGTGTACCAGGCCTCGCCATGTCATTCTAGACTGATGACGAAGACTTGGAAATATCTAACGTCTTACAGGTCAATGCATTCGCTGAACCGTCACATTAGGTCCATTGGTGGCGAGACCAAAACGCGACGGCTTTTTACAGAAAAACGCTGTGGTTTTGTCACATCTATACTGTGAAAATATACTACCGGATCATGTACTATCGTCTAATCATAGGCAGTAAGAACATTTAAGAGGACAAGAGGGCACTTCTGACTGAATCTGAGCTGTTAGCACATTCCAGGCATTAAGTGACAATCAAACAAATTTCAACAACTCACTGCATTAGCCACTGTGTACTAGGGTGTGTCATCAGCAACAAAACCAAGTGAGACAAAGAAATTATTTGGCGCTGGGGCTCAAAAGTACACGGCATAGCAAAAGTTCTTCCCAAGAACTTGAATTCGTGAGGTGCGAGTTGATCGAAATATCGACGTACACTGACGCCTTGCGTTGCAGTCACCCCATGCTGGGGTAATACCTTTGCGTAAAGAAACGATGCTACTGAGCGCTCTTAAGCCGTTGTACGAGAATGTCCCGATCTCAAGTGTAATATGTGAATCAGACATTGCTCGGTTGATTGACTTTTGGCGGAAACTTCATGTGCCGTTGAGTATGAACTCGTACGAATATGCCGGTTAGTATTGCTTTAGACTTTCACTTCTCTAAGACAACTCACGTGATGCAAACAAAACTATGTGTAGGGTATGACTCAGAATATACTGTCTGGTGTAAAACTCAATACATACGGTAAGTTTTGCAGCCCGTACCACGGACGCAGAGGGGGTGAGGGGTGGGGGGAGGAGGGTGGTAGGGTGACCCCATGCACATCTTGCCCCTTACTGAGCCTGTGTAGTCAATGCACCGGCCCAGACAGCAATTGCTCACAGTTCGGAAACCCAAAACGCGTGTTGGCAAAGATCGCACGGTAGCAGAACTACCTTCGCAGCTGGGCTCCACAATACCAAACGAGTACGGTGTATATCCGTTGGGTTGCTTACCCACGGTGGCAAACGAACCTGGAGGGAAGAGTACGCACCTTAACGAAACGCAGCACAGCACCCCGGTAACACGTTTAATACGTTTGGAGAGGGGGCGTTCTTCATTCCTCTCCATGCCCCACCCATCGCAATTTAGATTGGTTTTAAGTCAGCGGCAGCGTTTCAAAATTCATCCAGCAGGGTGCGCAGGATATGAATATAAATTCATGCTATAATAATCCTGGCTCTCTGATGGCCTCAGCACGCAATTGATTGGCATTAATCCGTTGCCCTTTGACGCCGAGCCCAGACATCTGACCTGCCCAGCCCGTCTGTCAAGTCTGAGGCGCTTACGTACTGGGTTGACAGCAGCCCGGTTTGGTGCTGACTGGCTGATTTTGAGCAAGGGGAGGGGCAATAGTGAGCCCCAACATGGGTGTAGCACATGAAAAAATATCGACATCCCTGCCACCCAAGTGGCCGAATATTGGACCGCTGGCCAGTGGGAAGGGTTGGTAACGATCGTCGGCAAGACGGCTGGGTAGGTCGAGGGCAACTTCACAAGTGAATGTCGCAGGTCAGACAGAACGTTTGTGTTTCAGCAGGCCCCTGTCCAAAACATCCACACATAACACAAACAATACATCAGTCTGGGGTTTATTCAAGTGACCCTTTGGCAGTGACACACAAACCAAGCTGATCTCCAGCATCACATATGCAATACAGCTATAAAAATTAAAACCGCGGGGCCCAGCAAGCCGGATTAATGTCAATCTCGCGCATGACCCGCATACATTCGTAAGAGTTGTTGCGCCCGGCTGACCCCCAAACATCCGCTTGACTAAAGACATACGCCGGGGACAGCGCGCGCCGCACGGATTTGCCCCGTACTCCACACCGCCAGCTTAAGGCGCCCTTCGGCACGGATCAACCAGTCACGATGGGCTCTGACAGGAGGCTTGCATTATGAACGACGCACTCGCCCCGCGCCGGGAGAACAGCCGCAGGTCGGCTGCCGACGCTGTTACCACATCACAGAGACATCGTTAAGCAATTGCGTAGCGGGCGAGGCGTATAAAACTCTGCGCAGAACACGCGCCATCAATCAGGCGAACGCCACACAATTCGCAGAAATCGACGCACAAGGTGCCGGACGAGTTGTGCCCCTGCAGCGAACCGAGGAGCCCCCACACCCGGTGTTCTACACGTCAAAGTTAGACACCGTGAGGTGTTGGAGGTTATTCCGCGCTGGAACAAACGGCGAACCATTAGTGCAAGTACAGATTCAAAGAGCGGCACTCACGTTAAAGCAGCTGTGACTTTGTGCCTTCAACGGCACCTAACCAAAGGTGAAATCACAGCCGCGATTCACAAACATGCGCGTGACGACTTATAGCACGAGCGGTTTGCTCAACCATCTGATCGGAAGCACTATCCCCTGAGGGTGTTGTGAAGTCTCGGACTCCGGTGGCTCCTTTAGCGACAGACTTTGTGAGCGAATGTGCAAATATTGCATCTGACTTTCGTCTAAGCGGCACCGCTGCATATCTGAATCAAGATGAGCAAGCTGGCAACAAGTTGTGAACATACAAAACACTATAAAAGACAAAATCGGAAAAATTCAGTGCTTGCAATGTGCCAACCGCTAAATTAGAGTGCTGAACAGCGACAAAAAAAAAACGCAAGCCCCTGACAGCATGCATACACATCTCACGTTCCACGCGCGCAAAGCCCAACAGAGTAGGCGAGGTCAGAGCCCACTAACGGGCCGAGCGTGCAGGTGGGCCTCGGATCTCTACATCTGATCACGCCGCGCGCCGCCGTCGCCGTCGAACTCACGGTCGAAGTAGGTGGTGTCGGTGGCGTCGTCGGGGCTGGGCACGAACGGACCGGGGCCTTCGAGCAGCCGGTCCCAGTCGAGCGGCGTCAGCAGGGCCATCTGCCGGACGCGCGCCAGCGCCGGCCGCGCCGCCGGCTCGAAGCACAGCAGCTCGTCCACGGCCGAGACGGCCGCGGCCGAGAGCGCCTCGCCGGCGTCCGGCCAAGGAATGTCTGCCGCGGGGCGGAGCGTGGTCAGGGCCGGGTCGGCGCCGCGGGGGTGGGGGACAGGGTACGGTCAGCGTTACGGCCGACAGGATGCTCAGACGTACGGCAGGCAGTGGGAGCGGACGGGTCGCGGGGAATGGTGAAACGATGGTTTAATGGGTCGTGAGCAGGCGAGGACGAGTTGGCTCCGACCTTCCCGCGTTCTCAGTGTTTGCACATAACCACCAGGCCATACCTCTCTTGAGGATATTCTGGAAGACGGCCTCCGGCGTTTCGTCGTTAAATGGCGGGATGCCCGTCACAAACTCGAACAGACAGACGCCCAGCGCCCACCAGTCGACCGGGGGACCTGGAACACAATACCGACCCGTCAGGGCACGGCGGACGCGCCGGTGGACGCGAACAACCCACGTTAAACACCGTCTGAACGTACTTTTGTGTGGCAGCGTTACCTAGGAGAAGCAGAGGCGGCAGACAAACTAGGCTTTATGGGATAAGGCAACGAGAGCTTTATCGCCTAGACATGAGAGCGAACCACCCCTGCAACGGCGTATCCGGCCGAGTGAAAATGTGGTGCAACGAGACTGGATATGGCAGGAAAACCCTGGCGCAAGGTACTTCAGTTTTACCTGGATGTGAACGTAAGGGGACACCGTTCCTCAAATTACGTCGCACGAAGGCACAGGCTCCTATGCAACAACGGGTGCCCGTGTACGTGTGCATGCGACGTAGTTTTTTGCAGCGTATAGATGGCGCAGTGGGACGTTTTGATAGTGAGGAACGCGCCTCAGATTTCAAGTTGCTCTAGTACCACCTGCGCGTTCCCCCTCCGCACCGTGTCCGACTCGCAGCAGTACCTCGGGCGCCAGGAGGTGAGGCCTCCTCCGTGCCCTCCCCGCTCCCCATCCGTACCACGCCCGAGTCACAGCAGTAGCTCGGGCGTCAGGCGGTGAGGCCTCCCGCGTGTCCTCCCCACCTCCTCCGCAGCCTCTCCACCTCCCGTACCATGTCCGAGTCGCAGCAGCAGCTCGGGCGCCAGGTAGTCGGGCGTGCCGATGATGCGGGTCTCCTCTGAGCGGAGCCGGCCGCGCAGCACCGACTTGGGCGTGCGGAACGGAGTGCGCGGCGTCACCGGAGCCGGCTGCCGACGCACCGGCGGGCGCCGCGTCACGGTGGGGACGCGTGGCCTCGCGGTCAGCACGGCACACGACAGTCAGCCAACACACCGCGGAAAATCTGGACGAGCGTGGGCACGGAGCTGATATAGACGATGCATTGGATGCGGGACTTAACACACCAACAGCATGTGTGTGAGGCTCCTCAACCAAAGCGACATGATCGTCACGGCTTCCCAGGCGCTCAGGCACGACTCCCGCTCGGTCAGCGCGGCTGCACACGGCGCGCCGCACCAGGACGGCCCTGCCGCCGCCGCGCGCGTACCGTGGCGGGCGTGCTGCGGCAGACCCTCTCGAACGACACATCCATGGGCGAGCCGAGGCTGGCCGGGCGGCGGGCGGCCGGGCCGCGGCGCGGCGGCGTCTGCGCCAGCGAGTTGAAGCAGACGGTGCGCAGCGGCGGCCTGGCCGGCGCGGCCACGCGGCTCAGCTTGGCCGGCGCCGGGCCCGACAGCCGCACGCCGTTGAGCGCCGCCGTCAGCCCGGTGCTGCGCGGGCTGGCAGAGTCGGCGCGGCACCGCTTGGTCGGCCGGCCGGGCTCGGCGGTCGGCGGACGCGCCGGCTCGGGCGCGTGCTGGCCGCGCCGGCTCGGCGGCCGTGCCTCGGGCGTCGACGTGAGCGGGTCCGGAGCGGCCGGCGACGGGCCGACCGCTGCCGGCGGCGCGGCGGGCCAACCGTCAACATGTAAGAACGGTCGTGCTTTATCCTGTAACTGGCTTACCAGGCGCACGGGGGCCGACGAAAAAGCTGACGAAACGCTTCCCTTAATAATTGGCATACCGTGCGCATTTTTGAACGATGAACTTGGTCTACAAGTACATCATACCACCGGCGTTTGTGCGGATACACGCGGTATCATATATCACGCTGAGCATGACTGAATATGCTCGACAAAAGCCATCAGAAATCCGAGCAAATTTATGTTATTCCTACACACGCCTTTGCCGTATGCCCACAACATCGTCCAATCCATAGTTAATCCGTGTGAAACGACCACGGTGCTCATGTGGGCAGCTTTCGCGGCCGCTCGGGCGCGGCCGGCCGACTGACCGTCGTCGATGGCGGCGGCCACGCTCCGCAGGCGCGGGGTGAGGTGGGCGACGGGCGCCGCCAGACTGCCGGCGGCGCGCGCCCGGGCCGCCCGGCCGCAGTACGAGCCGCCCGCCTCCAGCGCCGAGTCGGCGCAGCTCAGCGAGCCGGCCAGCTCCATCGGGCTGCCGTCCGAGTTCTGCCCGGGCGCAGGCCGGGGCGTCGGTGACGGGTGATGGCACGGGGCGAGACCATTCGCCTCTGCTGCGCGCCAGTGTTGGCACGCTCGAGGGACGCGGAGGTGAAGCCTCTGATGCCGGGCCGGGCGATAAGCTGTCGCAGCTCTGTGAGGAAGCAAGCAGGAGCACCGGGCCGACAGCGAGGTGGAGGTGGACAAGAGGAAATATGGGAAGGCAGGGATGGACCAAACATTTTCTGATAGTTGATAAGAGGATGATAAATACAAAGTCCACAATCGAAACAAGTCATGTCTACAGCATCTTAAAACATCACACAACATACCGAGCTGAATGGCCAGAAGCACACATAAGACAGCGAGTTTGCACCAGATTACTGCCATATGTCTAAAAGCGTCTTATCATACTTCCCAAACCTCTTCATCGAAAGCCCAGACTGAAATCACATACGTATCGCGTAGGCAGCAGAGGCAGCGCTGCACATTTCCCTGAGTCGCACCCACGCGCCGGCCACCCCCTCCCCCTCCGTGGCCGTCGGCCGGAGCTCACGAAAGAGAGGTGCGAAGTGAGCGACAGCAGCTGGCCGGGCGTGCGCAGCAGGCTGCTGCGCACGACAGTGGGCGTGGCTCGCAGCAGGTCCGTCACTGAGATCTCTGTAACGGGGGCCGGCGAGCCGTCACACGGTCAGCAAAGCACGGACCGGTGGGATGGGCACAAACGGAGGGCGCCTCAGACCGGCAGCGTGGGCACGGACGGACGAACAAGACGCTCGCCGGGCGGGATAAACACAACATACCGGTTTCATATCGCCGTTGCTGACCGATGAAGCGGCAGTCCGGAAACTCAAGTCCACAGAGGCAGTCACTCATTAAGTCCCCTCCCCCGCTCGCCCTGATTCCGCTGTTGATCACGGGACACGGCAGACAGCTGAGTGCCATGGGTCTGGTGCACCAGTGGACGGTCGCGGAGGCCTCACCGCGGTGAGCGTTGATCTTGCTGAGGCCGAAGTCGGTCAGCTTGACGTGGCCCTGCGCCGTCAGCAGCATGTTGTCCGGCTTGATGTCCCGGTGAGTGATCCCGTGGCTGCCGATGTTGGCCTCTGGTCAGCCGCTCTCACGCATGGTGCCTGTGCAGCTTGCGTGCGAGTCAACGACCACCAGAAGCAAATGCCACAATAGCATCCGCGTAACGGCATGAGGTCAGCACAAAGACGAGAAACGCTCACCATGACTTTATACGACACCGCCTATGACGGGGTGATGTACAACAACAGTTTCTTCCCAGACGGCTATAGCCCTGATCAATGCACGGCACTGCATGCTGGGTTCAGCAGCGGCCACCGCCGGGCTTACGTGTGCAGGTAGTCCAGAGCCAGCGCCACCTCGGCCACGTAGAAAGCGGCCATCCGCTCCTCGAAGTAGCCGTACATGGCCAGCAGCGATTTCAGGTCTCCGCCAATCAAGTACTCCATCACCTGCGGACGACACAGACGCATATTTGCCGAACAAAGGCCTGATTACGCGGTCTGGTACTCATATATGTATGAGCGCACATGCCGTCCGGGCTCGATGACCAAAGCTATTTAGGGTGCGGAGCCTAAGCTACCTTACAAATAGCAAGATACACATGGCTGAATTAAAATTTCTTGAAACCACAAGTGCACCAGACCACAAGTGCACAACACGCATCAGACTGACGAAAGACATGGCACACTCAAAGAGTCACAGAAGTCCAGGAACGGCAAGTCGTCCCATCTCACCAGATAGATGTTGTTTGCTGACTGCAAGGAGTAGAAGATCTGGACGCAGAACGGACTCCTCTGGAGGGCCAACGCATCCCGTTCTGTGACCACTGCCGGAGACGCAAGGTCAGCAAGGTCACCGAACGGCGACACAGCCTCAATATGTTTGCCACGCCAGAGGGTACATCGATCCAGAGGCAGGTAAAACACGTACGTAACTCGACTCACCCTGCTCCACCATGTTCTTGTTGATCATCTCGGACTTCTTCACAGTTTTTATGGCGAACAGATGCTCCGGGTGACCTTTCTTGCAGCCCAAGAAGACCTTCCCGAATGCCCCGCGACTGATGGGCTTCAATATCTCGAAATCCTCTATCGTGGGCTCCTGAAAACATGCAGTTTCCAATCAGTTTGCAACAGCAACAGCTGAACCTCACATTATCTCTAACTGGGAAATGCATGCAGGCAATAAAATGCCTGTAAATTACTGGTTTGCTGCATGAAAAGCCATACAAGGTGTGTAGTTTAAAAAGCTTCCAAAAACTGTAGCTTAAAAAGTGCTTGGGCTGTGATGTACCAATGTTTTTTCACAGAAGAGAAAACCAAGTCCATGTAATCAAGCAGTTGAAGACATGGAGGCTTCCAAACTTGATGCACAAAACAAGATGAATGCAATAACCTTACTATGGCTAATGTCAAGTAAAGCAATCCCAAATGGGATCAAGATCATATGATTTACATTTGTTGTAGTGTGATCTAAAACAGGTGCAAGTGGAAAGGACTTCTTATTGCTAACAATGACTCCCAAATGACCACCAGTCACTATGGTTATAGTATGGGACATCCCATGATGATGATTATTTGGGGTTTTAGGGCACATCAACTGCTGTAGGTCATGAAGCTCCCATATGGGACATCCCATATATAGTTTCAAACTACATAGACCATGTAAACTTACCTCATGCTGTGCAGCTTCCATTTCTTCAATCTCATCCATCTCTGGACATCTATAGTGATGTGAAAGACAGATGATCTTGCTCAAAAAGATGAAGCTTAGCTGAAGCTTAGGCCAAAGCACCTTGACAGTATTTCCATTGCTGCAGCATATGCATAGTTGTATCATTTTCACACAAATGTGTATTAGCTGCTAAAATGTGAATGAGCAATGAACTATTGGAATGCATGAGAAAACCAAGTGGTCAGTAAGTACTATATCTGTACCTCTCAGGCATGATTAAATACCAATGTTCTTTTGTCAAATATTTCCCACCATGCTGAGGATGTATGCATGAAACCCCCTATTTAAAGAAAAAGTTGCAAACCCTGATGAAGTTTTTCAGCACCTGCTACTAGCCAATTAATAAAACCATCTGAATGTACTCCACTATAAATGAAGCTCATCATTTCCATGCTTGCAATTTTTATTGTCTAAACTATATCCATCTTGCATCTGCAATTTTGTTTTACATAGGCCACATTTTTCCATGAATTATGCTTTGCAATCAGGGATTGACCATTTGATATAAGAAAAAAAGCATGTGTTGCCAAAAACATGCCAACCAAAAAATATGGGCTGTGTGCATGATTAGGGCACACAAGTTACATGTAGTGCATCAATGTATACCAAAACACCACTTGCAACTATATCCACAAAATATTCTTGTGAAACCAAAAAGCATCAGACAAGACAACAATGTAGGTATCATCATTATCTCTGAAAAATGCACATGACATGATTGCACTGCCATCATGAGAAGACTATCACAATCCAAACAAACAATTTCTGGGATTTGCCAGCAATCTTCTGTGCAGACATGCAGGTAGATGAACACCTAGGCACTCGAAGGCTACTTTTAGAGACTTGGGTGTAACCAGATATCTGAGACAGGGAGAAGCAAATCAGGACTGCAGGGGTCAAACTGGACTTTGGAGGTCAAACATGATTTGAAACTTATGTTTTCATTGTTAAAAAGCATATAAGTTTCAGTATGAGAAAACTGGGGGGTTCCCCAGTCCCCTCGCTCCAGCAATAACACCCATGTGGTGGGTCCAAACAATCTGAGGGGAACAAGCAGTAGGTGCCAGGGGGCAGTTTAGCAAAGAAGGCCTGTTTGAGGAGTTCAGCAGGGGAAAATGGCAAAAACTACACCCAAAACACACTAAAAAGGGGTTTCTCTCCGGATTCGACACACTGCTCACAAAGTTGGCGGGGGCCAAATGGATAGGAAGCTTCTCCTACAATCGCGCACAGACTATCGTGACAGCGAACCAAGACGAAGTAATCCGTCCTGCACAAATTAAGGAGCAACTTGGAAGAGCCCTTCTTGCCGTATCACTTGAGGCTGGAATGTAGAACTGCTTGCCTGCTGAGTGACGATCACATCCAACGTGCCATCCCCGTTGCAACGATTCAAACTTTACGCCAGATGCGCTAAATTTGCCGAAAGTGGGCCAGAATGGCAAGCGTCAGCTGATCCGCCGTTCGTTTGTTTTGATCCCGGAATGTCTTTTTTTGTCTTCCTTGTAAGCCATTCGGACACATCTTAAACCGTCGTCCGAAAAAAAATGCACCGGAATCCATTCCAATCTAGATCTTGGACAACGTACAGCACGGTGAGACGAGTTCCGCCTGTCAGGGCCCAGTTCCCAGCAGCAAAACACCCACCGCTGCTACCTGTCTATGACGTCACAAGCGCTGCGTTATACACAAGCATTGACCTATACATACACAAGCGACTCATGCCGTATGGACTGCTGTGAAGCCCTTGCCTGGAACGTCTTATGTTGCCATTTGTGGACGGCGTTCGGCCATGGGGAACGCTACCCAGATGGGTCGGGGCGGGTATGAGTGGGGTAGTACAGGCTGGACCAGACCAGACCAGACCAGACCAGACCAGACCAGACCAGACCAGACCAGACCAGACCAGACCAGACCGGACCGGACCGGACCGGACCGGACCAGACCAGACCGGACCGGACCGGACCGGACCGGACGCACCGCACATGACTGGACGGGACGGAACAGGATAGATGGGACAGACAGGACTTCTTTGTTTATTTAATCGGATTATTACCGTCGAAAAGAGTGCATTTGGTAGTTATGCTACAGCAACTAGGTTCGCCATAAGGTAGGCGCAACGTTTTTTCGAGTTCAATTGCCAGACAATTTGATAGAATGCCTGATCATCTGACATCAGCTGAACTGACTCAGTGCAAATTAAGCTATCTGAGATTTTGCATAACTTGATCCACCATTTAAAACATCTTTTTAAAACTAACATCATTCACCGCCTAATTCTTAACGATCCAGTGAATTTGCGTCCGGCCTTTTTTCCAGTGCATCGGTCAGCGTCAGGTATCTTCGAAAAAAATTATTGTTATTCGGCATTGGCCACCAGCTTTCTTGTGGTTCCTGATGCAGACTCTGTCCTTCGTCATGAAGTTTCTGAACGCATTAAGTTCCTATGTGGGGGTATTTTGCAGCGCCAATCATCATGATTAATTAACAAATGCATATTTCATCGCCCTTTCCTCTGGCCCAGGCGGCGCAACGTTACGCTCAGGTGTACCTACAAACATTGGCGTAAGGACATCTCAAAAATTGGGGGTGCCAATGTCCGTTTTGGAGTCGATTCTTTCCTTCCATCGTCATAGAGTTAATGATAAACATTCTCGGAAAGCGGGGGTGCCACGACACTAGCGGAGCCGCTGTTCCAGCGTCTGGCTACAAATCATGTTCAAGTCATTAAAAATAGAGCCCTGGAAACAAAACCTTTCATTGTCTCAAAAACTTAGTCGGTTGGAGCGTGTCCTCCCACTCACCCATCCGTGGCGGAGTGGGCTCGAGTCGCTGTTTGCTCCCGACTGAGATGCCCTGCGGCCCGTGGCATTGGCGACGCTCATGGGCAAGTGACGTCAGAGGACAGGATGGATCGTACCCAGCATTAAGTCACATAAAATTTTCGCCGTAGAATTTTACCAGTTGGCGATTGGATGATGTAGGCATAGCTCATGCAACGAGTACTGCTTAGTGTGGGCTCTGATGCTAGAAGTCTGCCTAATGAGAGGGTTTTACGGTTTTAGTAAGATGTTTTATATCAACTTTATGATAAGATCGGGTTCAAACCTTTTGATTCAATGGATTTCTGGGATAAGCGCACGCGCTCAGCGGTGTTTGTCGCATGAGCATTGATCCTGATCCGATCGCGGAATTCCAGGTCAGCGATATATTTTGCGGCGATGTTTTGCTCAACGCTCGGCGCGGTCCCTCCTGTCCCCTGACGTCACTGACCCATGGTGCGGCGACTGCCATCGGCCGCAGGCCATCGTAGCCAGGGGCAAACAGGGAGTGCCCGAGGCAACTCGAACCCAGCCCACCGCGAGTCGACGAATCGGAAGATATGCGCTCTTTAACCAAATGAACTATCAGAACGGACAACACGGATCTACTCTTATGGCGAGCAGCACACTCGTAAGCTGTTACGCATCAGTTGTGGTCAAATTGTGGTCAAATTGTCAAATCCAATCAAATAAAGAAAATAAACAAGTGGTCAAATTGTCAAATCCAATCAAATAAAGAAAATAAACAAGTGGTCAAATTCCAAAAAAAGATGCCATTTTCGGAATGTTACACTTAACACAGCATAGTGAGGGGAGAGCGTGTTCTAGCCCAGTGTAACCAGTGCGTAACCAGGGGAATTGAGAAATGGGTAACTATGCCTAAAGGAATGTATGGAGAATGCGATGCACGTGGAGAGCTCACAGCGCACGGTCCACGAATGCCAGCTGCCGCGCTTCCTCAATGTCAAATGCGAGGACTTTTCAAGGACTTCATAGCGATCCCATAGTACAATGATTTCTTCATTCAATAGATTCTGTTTCAAAATATTTGGAACGAAAAACAGTGCATTTTTTTCTCGCAAATCCTGCTTAACATGGAAGTGCCACCAGACTCCAAGTTTTGAGGAGGCGCAAATTTTTCTCATTTCCCTCACATGACAGTGGTGCCTTCCGCGAAGATTAGCGTACACATTCGTGGTGGGGGCACTTGCCTGATTGCGTCTCACGATCCAAACAAGGCATGTTCTTAACTGGGAGGCAGCATAACCCGCTTTTATCGCAAACTTTGCTTCAACTGTGCTCATGGGCACTCTTTTAGGAAGGGGGTCTATTTTTATCACAAAATTCCCTCATCACAGGGGCACCTCCCATGTACAGGGAGATTGTTCGCACGTGCTTGCCCCGTGGACACCTGACCTGGGGCGTTGTGAAAGGTAACGAATGTGTAGATGTATTGAAAAACACCCGAAATTCGTCTTCATCTTTCCACGGGCCTACTATAGCGCCCTTTACGAAGTCAGCGTACCTGCTTGTCGTTACGATCTCACTTTACCTTACAGCTGTGTTCACTTTCAACGTGCATCCGCGCCAGGTGGTGTGTTCTTTGTGGAGAACAAATTATGGCCGCTGGATTTCCTCCAGTCGGGTTCTCAGGCCAGGTCATCTGGCCCCAGTCAATAATATTTTGATATTGCATAAATCTGGGCGTCGGTTTCACATCTCAAGTTCCATGGTTTTTTTCCGCGGAATACCTCAATATTACAGAGAAGCTGTCTCATAAAGAAGCCGTTTATTTTCTCAAGATGTTTCCGGAGATGCACATAACCAACGCAGTTGATACGCCTACAATCACGAATATGCCTGCATACTCAGTTCTCGTTTATTTGCGGGCAACCGTTAATGAAGAGGGTAGACACTTAATTTTAGCCGTAATTTTCCGTTGTAATCACGGGTGACGTGCTCTGAAGCACATTTTATTCGCGAAAGAAGAGAGAAGGATCTGCTTTTTTTGTGCCACACGCCACCCCTTGCTTGGCTCTGTGGAACAGCTAGCTCCTCGCTGTGCCATGAATGGTAATCCTGCTTTTCACGCCTGCTGAAGAGGCCTGTGCAGCCATGCACCGGAGACATGGCGTCTAAAGGTTCTGAGAGGTTCACATTTGCACCAGCTAGTTGCGCTCGCGGAGGCTCTTGTTGGCG